ATGATTAACATACAGAAATCAATTACATTTTTATATACTAACAATGGACACATAGAAACCAAAATTTTAAATACAACACCATACACAATCGCTCAGAAAAATAAAATTCTTAAAATATGAAATCTTGGAAAACGTACAGGATTTGTATTCTGAAACTCAAAAGGCTAATGAAAGAAAGCAAATGAGATCTAAATAAATGTATAGAAATACCAGGTTCCTGGATAAGGAGACTCAGCAGATGTCAGTTATGCTCAGATTCATGTCTCTTGCTGACACGTAATTGTCAGCACAATTGCTGATAAAATTCCAGCATGATATTTTGTAGACACAGACAAAATTATTCTAAAAGTATATATGGGAAGACAAAGGAACTGGAATAATTAAAGCAATTAAAAATTATAAAGAGTGAGCAAATCATTACCCAATTTTAAGAAATGATACAGTTACAGTAATCAAAACGGTGTGGTCTTGATGAAGGGATAGACACATAGATTGGAACAGAATAGGGAACTCACAAGTAGCTCCACACAAGTATGGCCACGTGATTTTTTGACAAAAGTGCAATTCAGTGGTGAAAGAATAGCCTTTTCAAGAAATGATGCTACAGCAGTATTATACCTATAGGCAAAAACGTGAAGCTCAAGGTAACCCTCACACTTTATTTTAAAATGTACTAAAAATGGATCATAGGTTTAAATGTAAAACTTAGAAGGTAACATTGGAGAGGTCTTCAGTACCTCAGGCTTGGTGAAGAATAAGATCGATAAACTGAACTTCCTTAAAATTAAAAACTTGCTGTCACAAAACACCCTGTTAAGAGGATGGGAAGACAAACTACAGACCAGGAGAAAATATCTACAAGCCACATATTTGACAGAAGACTCTTAGAATATATAAAGAGCTCTCAAAACTCAACAGTAATAAAACAACCCAATTAGAAAATGGACAGAAGGATACTACAGACTAGGAAGGAAAGGGAGAGATTTGTTAATAGATACAAAATTACAACTCCCTGGGGAGAATAAATTCTAGTGTTTCATATCACTGTAGAATGACTATAGTTAACAATAATACATAGTTTCAAATAGCTAGAAGGATGATGGAGGATATAGAGTGCTCACAACACAGAGAAATGCTAAATGTTTGAGATGGATATGCTGATTAACCTGTTCTGATCACTATACATTGTATGTATTAAGACTTCCCTGTGTGACCCATGAATATATACAATCAGCTGGGCACAGTGGCTCAGGCCAGCATCCGCTTGTTCTATTAGATCTGCATTTAATTTAACAGTCTGGTTTTCTTTAGAAAACAGACAAAAAATCATAGGATATAGACTGTTTCAATCAGTAGCAACTAATTGTAATCCCAGAATTTGGGAGGCTGAGGCAGAGGGATCACCTGAGGTCAGGAGTTCAAGACCAGCTTGGCCAATATGGTGAAACCCCATCTCTACTAAAAATACAAAATTAGCCAGGTGTGGTGGCACGTGCCTGTAATCCCATCCACTTGGCAGGCTGAGGCAGGAGAATCGCTTGAACCCGGGAGATTGCGCCATTCCACTCCAGCCTGGGTGACTAGAACAAAACTCCATCTCAAAAAAAAATATATATATATATAGATATACAATCATTTGTCACTTAAAAATTAAAAAAAAAAAATTCTAGAGACAGGGTCTCGCTCTTTTGCCCAGGCTGGAATGCAGTGACATGATCTCAGCTTACTGCAGCCTCAGTCTCCTGGACTGAAGCGATCCTCCCATCTCAGCCTCCCAAGTAGCTGGAACTACAGGCACACACCAACATTCCTGGCTTATTTTTTGTAGAAACAGGGTTTCACCATGTTGCCCAGGCTAAATTAAAAGAAAACCTTTTTTTTTTTTTAATTTTTTGTTTTGAGATGGAGTCTCGCTCTGTTGCTAGGCTGGAGTGCAGTGGTATGATCTTGGATCACTGCAACCTCCATCTCCCAGGTTCAAGTGCTCTTACCTCAGCCTCCCGAGTAGCTGGGACTGTAGGCGTGCGCCACCATGCCCAGCTAATTTTTATATTTTTAGTAGAGACGGGGTTTCAGTATGTTTGCCATGATGGTCTCAATCTCTTGACCTCGTGATTGCCTTCCTCGGTCTCCCAAAGTGCTGGGATTACAGGCATGAACCACCGCACCTGGCCTAAAAGAAAACTCTTTCAAGGAAGAAAGTGGACAAAAGGATTAAGTATTTTACCAAAGAGAATATGTAGATGGTTATTAGCACATGGAAAGATATTTAACACCACTGTATTAGGGAGATGTAAACTAAGACCAAATACTACACTCCTATTAGAACAAGTAAAATAAAAAATAGTGACTGGCAAATTCTGGCAAAGTTGTGGAGAAACTGGATCTCTCAAACATGGGTGGGGAAATGTAAAATAGTATAACTATTCTGGAAAGTAGTTTGGCGGTCCCTTGTAAAACTAAACACACACATACCATATGACCCAACAGCAGTTGCCCTCCTGAGCATAGCCCAGAGAAATGAAACTTGAGTTCACATAAAAACTAGCACATGAGTGTTCATAGCAGCTTTATTTGTAGTAGTTCCAAATAGGAACAACTAAAATGTAGGGAGATGGATTAAAAAAACTGGTTCATCCATCCCATGGAATACAACTGAGCAGTAACAAGGAATGAACTCGATATATGCAGCAGCTTGAATGGATTTCAACAGCAGTATGTTGAGTGAAAAAAGCGAACCCCAAAAGTCATATATAATTCTATTTTTATAGCATTCTTGAAGTCACAAAATTATAGACATGAAAAATTGCGGGAGGTTAGGGATGGAAGGTAGGAGTAGGTGGACATGACTGTAAAGGGGTAATGAGGGAAATCTTTGTGGTGATGGTGGTTTCAGGAAGCTGCACATATGATATAATGACTGCACATATAATAGAACTATGTAGACAGAAATGTGTCAGTGTAAATCTCCTGACTGTGAAATTGTACTGTAATTACATAAGATGCAGTGATTAGGGGAAACTGAAGAGTACACAGGACTTTATGTAGTACCTTTGGAACTTCTTGAGAACCTATAATTATTTCAAAATAAATTTTAAAACGTTAAAGCCACAACCTAAATACAGCATAATTTCAAACAAGTGATAGCTAAATGTTGTCTCTTTGGAGATCTTCAGGGATGCTGACTTCAGTCTTTAACACTGCTGCACATTCAGGAAAAGTGGATAGGTTATATAGTACTTTATGTTTAACTCAGTTGACATGTTCACAGAAATAGCAAGCTGCCCCATTAAAAAGACAGAGCTTGGCCAGATGCAGTGGTTCACAGCTGTAACCCCAGCATTTCAGAGACCAAGGCAGGCAGATTGTTTGAGCTCATCAGGGGATTTGAGATCAGCCTGGGCCACATGATGAAATCTCATTTCTACAAAATATACAAAAATTAGCCAGGTGTGGCGGTGCATGCCCATAGTCACAGCTACTCAGGAGGCTGAGATGGGAGGATCGCTTGAGCCTGGGAGGTAGAGGTTGCAGTGAGCCGAGATCACACCACTGCACTCGAGCCTGGGCAACAGACCCTGTCTCTAAAAAAATAACAGAACTCCTCTATCCAGCACCAGTTACCTCCATGCTTTACCACCAAGACCACAAATACTTCAGGTGCTTTTAGAAGGAGGTAAGGGAGCTCATATATCTGCTGTTTCATCTACTTATAAAGATGTTGTAGTTCTAAATTTCAGATGCACAAGGAATATTTACACACATGTTTGAATATTAATTCTCACTGAAGTTGTGTAACTATCACAGCAAGTATATAGTAAGTACAGGCTTAACATGCCTCTCCTTGACTAGTGCTGCACAGGTTTAACTTTTTGGTAACACCATTCTAATTTTAGTTTAAAGTATAGATCAGATATCTCCAGACTCATTTCCTACAAATTTCTGTCCAGAATTTTGACTGATCATTTAAGTAACAGCGTTGTTACTACTTAGTAAGCACTTACTATGTGCAAGGCACTGTTGTTGAGACTTTACCTTCCATTATCTTTTTGAATTCCCTCAAAACCCCTGCAGTTACACTCCTTTTATAGTTGAGGAAACTGGGCTTAGAGGGATTAGGTAACTTGAGCAAGATAGTACCTGTCATATGGCTGGAATTTTAGACCAAGACACTGACCCCAGAGCCAAAGTTATTAACAGATATGTTCCTGTGTGTGTGTTTGCTTGTCTGCTTGATTCATACTTCTGACTCCAGTAGCAACTAATTGCTAAGAGAACTCAGTTCCCTTTCTTGCCCCATTTCAGCCTCCTTTCAATACCAGCATCTGAGAACAGCAATACTGTCCAGCATTCACTTGTTCTATTAGATCTGCATTTAATTTAACAGTCTGGTTTTCTTTAGAAAACAGACAAAAAATCATACAGGAGATAGATTGTTTGAACCAACTGGAAAAAAAATTTTTGTTAATGTTATTCTTGCTTCTTAATAAGCTTGCTTTTGCTTTGAAAACAAAAAAAAATTAATGTGATTCTTTATACCTTCAAGAAATCTGGAAACCAAGGGTAATAGTATCAAAAGTCAAGATTTGTTCTCTAGTCAGTCACTTGATTTGATTATTTATCTCTTGATTATGTCATGGAAGTAATACATTACTGGTAGCAAGCAAAGATGTCTTTTCATTAGAGATGTAGATAAATCCATCCTTGGGATTATTCACTGTGTAGCTCAGCAAATCCATAAGATCACATTGCATAAAATGTTACAAAATACCCACCTTTTAGATTTGGATGAAAATTTTTCGGTTCCTCTAAAGATGATTTAAGCAAGTTATATCTGTTACTTTCAATGTTTTATTTAAAACATGACGTTTTGTTCAAAATTACAAACATGCTTGTGATTTTTACAAAATTGACCTGACATTTGTAGTTGCATGTGTAATTTATTATGTGCTATAAGGAACTTTTGTAAATTGACCTAATTTCTTATTTTCTCTTTACAGGAATATATTAAAGGAATCTGTGAACCTGAACTAGAAGAAAGAGAATGTTACCCCAAAGACATGCACTGCATTTTTGTTGGGGCAGAGAGCCTGTTTCTGAAAAGCTTGATTCAGGATACTTGTGCTGACCTCTGCATTCTGGACATTGGCCTTCTTGGCATCAGAGGAAGTGCTGAGGCCGTGGTCATGGCTAGGAGTCACATTCAACAGTTTGTAAAGCTCTTTGAAAATAAAGAGAACCTACCCAGTAGTCAGAAAGAATCAGAGGTGAAAAGGGAATTCAAACAATTTGTTGAAGCCCATGCAGACAATTACACAATGGATTTGTTGATTTTGCCCACTTCCTTGAAAAAAGAACTTTTGACACTCACACAAGGTGAGGAGAATCTCTTTGAAACAGGAGATGATGATGTTATTGAAATTAGAGATTCTCAACAAACAGAGTTTACACAGAATGCTGCCACAGGGCTGAATATTTCCAGAGATGAAAGTGTTTTGCAGGAAGAGGCAAGAAATAAAGCTGGGACTCCTGTTTCTGAGCTTACAAAACAAATGGACACAGTCCTTTCTAGCTCACCAGATGTGCTTTTTGATCCAATAAATGGTCTAACCCCAGATGAAGAGGCACTTTCCAATGAGAGAATTTGTCAGAAAAGGAGATTTTCTGATTCTGAAGAAAGGCATACCAAGAAGCAGTTTTCTTTGGAAAATGTTCAGGAGGGGGAGATTTTACATGATGCTAAGACATTGGCTGGAAATGTAATAGCTGACCTATCTGATTGTTCTACTGATTCTGAAAATTTAAGTCCAGATATAAAAGAAACTACTGAGGAAATGGAATACAACATCCTCGTAAACTTTTTTAAAACCATGGGCTATTCCCAAGAAATTGTTGAAAAAGTCATTAAGGTGTATGGACCATCTACTGAACCATTATTGCTCTTAGAGGAAATTGAAAAAGAAAATAAAAGATTCCAAGAAGACAGAGAATTTTCAGCTGGTACAATGTATCCAGAGACCAACAAAACCAAAAATAAGGGTGTTTATAGCAGCACAAATGAGCTTACAACTGATTCCACTCCAAAGAAAACACAGACTCACGCACAGCAAAATATGGCAGAAAAATTTTCTCAGTTACCATTCAAAGTGGAAGCTAAACCATGTACCTCAAATTGCAGAATTAATACTTTCAGAACAGTGCCAATAGAACAGAAACATGAAGTCTGGGGTTCAAACCAGAACTATGTTTGTAACATAGACCCTGAAACTGATGGCCTTTCACCTTCTGTTGCCTCTTCAAGTCCCAAAGAAGTCAATTTTGTTTCAAGGGGAGCTTCAAGTCACCAGCCCAGAGTTCCAGTTTTTCCTGAAAATGGTTTACACCAGCAGCCAGAACCCTTGCTTCCAAATAATATGAAATCTGCCTGTGAAAAACGTTTAGGATGTTGTAGTTCTCCTCATTCTAAGCCAAATTGTTCAACCCTTTCTCCACCAATGCCACTGCCCCAGCTGTTACCTTCAGTTACTGATGCAAGGTCGGCAGGACCTTCTGATCATATTGATTCCTCAGTTACTGGAGTTCAAAGATTTCGAGATACTCTAAAAGTACCCTACAAGCTGGAATTAAAAAATGAACCAGGGAGAACAGATTTGAAGCACATTGTTATAGATGGGAGCAATGTTGCAATTACGTAAGTCCATTCTCTGCAGATTGTTTTATTTTAAATAGGGCTCTAAATGGTGTCTGAGAATCACATGTATATAGGAACTATACATACATGTTGTATATAGTTGATCTGTAGCCTTAGGGTCGGATGGTGGAGGGGAATGGGAACCAACTGGTTGGAAAGGTTTTGTCAGTCCATCTTCTGGATTCATGAACTTTACTTCACCCTGCTGAACTTAATTTCTAAGGGCAAGAGAGGACAGAATATTATCTTTTCACATTGCATTGCTCAGTGATAGATAGTATAGTGACTTTTAAGTCATTACATTCTTAATACTGTGAGTACCATTATGTTATGATCTAAATAAGAAGACAAAGCTTAAAGCACAAGGATTTTTTTTATCTTATGTTAGAGTATGCCTGATCTCTAGCCTAGAGTATGCAGTGGTAATAGGTGTGATGTACTTCTCTGGATAGAGCAATGGCAATTTCCTTTCAAAGGAAGTTAGTTTGAGCTTCATTGTGGGCCTCTGCTCTTATTAAAAGTTTATAATGTTTTTAGTAAAAGACACCATTTAATGAACCTGTTGTTTCTAGTTAGCCTGTCTTGGAACTCCTCTTAGTTGAAAATCCTCTGATTTGAAACCTGTACACTTGGATTTCTTTTCTAAGGGGCAGTTTAAGATCGTGGCTAAGAAGTGTGTGAGGGTCAAGAGCCTCCCCGCACTGTGGACCAGCTGTTTGATTTGGGGCAGGTCACTTAACTGTTTGGAGTTTCAGTTGCTGCAATCTGTTGCCTTCTGACCTGTCCTTAAGGACATCTTTACCATATCATTTCAACAACTGTGTACAAAGTCTGCCTTCTGTTTTCAAAACCAGTCACCCCATTGTTAAAAGAAAAACTTCGGGCAAATTAAATTTAGCAGAGTTGATCTGCACAAACAATGATTTATGAATCTGGCAGCACCCTAAACCAGGAGAGGTTCATAGAGCTTCACTCAGCAATGAGGGCCAGTGGTATTTATCGGCAGAAGGGGGAAGTGCCCTGCAGAAACAACTTGATTGCCTACAGGTTGGCATTTGCCTTATCCAGGCATCCTGTGATGAGGCATTTACCTTATGTAGATGTGGTCTGAGCAGTTGCCAGCCTGTGATTAGCTGAAGCTTAGCTGCTGTGATTGGCTGAGACTCAGCTTTTTTTTTTTTTTCACAAGAATACTCTTAAGTTGCAATTTGTTCACATACTAAGGTTGCAGGTCACTATGTATGGAGGCAACTTTAGGCCAAATTTAATTTAACACCATTGATTTTTGAAGAAATATTCAAGGTCTGGCATTTTAAGTAGCTACAATTCAATAAACAGGGCACCTGGACATGGAATGAGGAAGAAGTTGCCAAATCTTAAAAATACTTTTCTGAGTTGCCAAATGTTTGTATAACTTCTTTTTTGGGAGTTCTGAGAGATCAGTTAATGCCCTGAGTTTTTAAGAATACCTATTAGGATTGAAAAATAAATGTTATTTTTGAAATATATGTTTATAGTATATTTGTAATTTTTGGTTTGTAAATTTTTTATTAGGATTTTCAGATACACAAGATAAAATAATGAATTCCCATGGGTTCCTCACCCACCTTCAATAATTACCAGCTCATGATCAGTCTTGTTTCATCCTAGCCCTTACCTCTTCCTTCCACCCCTATTATTTTGAAGGAAATCTCAGCTATATATTCATAAATATTTTAATATGTATTTTTTAAAATATAAGGATTATTCTGGTTTTTATTATTTGAATGAATTATCGATGCTGTGTTTTGCTGTCAAAAAGAAAATGCCATCATTTCAGATGTTAAAATTTGAAGACAGGAAGCAAAAATATGCAGTATGTTTATCGTCATTTCCAAATCATGTTTATTGTCATTTCACTTTGGTTTTTTTGGCAGCCCTATTAGGGGAAACCCAGCAAATGACCCGCAGCTGCATAGCGATATCTAAGCAAAAATGTCAACTTCAGTCACCCACACCCCAAGCCCGGAACAAGTTCTTCATTGTTATGATTTCTTGAGCCAACTAGTGACACAAAATTTAGGTCACAATTGTGAGCAGTTCTCATCCTCTTTCACTTTTCTGTATGTGGAAGGATTTTCCAAATAGGAAATGCAAGTTAACATAGAATGAGCAGTGATCCTGATGCTTTTTAAAAACCTTTTGGGGTAGTTAACAGGCATATTTCTCAGCAGGGTCACTGTTGGAATTTAGAGTGGTGTTACCTATCTGACAGGATGTTTTGCAAATCTAGTCCCTCCCACTTTGCTTATAATATCCTTCCCCAGTCATTGTGACACCCCAAACACACTCCCACATATTTCCTAATGCCCTGAGTTCAGTATCATCTCTTTTGAAAACTACCAATTATTACACTAAGAGAAAGCTGCAAGCTTTCTTTTTTTTTTTTTTTTTTTTTTTGGAAAACTGATTGTTTTGGGCGGATTTACATTTTCTTTGGATTCACAGATGTCTGTATTTAAAGGCAATACTTTTACAAGTGAATGTGTTACTTTAAGGAGACAGACTTGTACTTAATTTGATGTATTGTTCTGAAAATGTCAGTAATTAAGATTTACCCATATTCTAGGAAGAAACTGCATAATGGGTATAGAGTTTTATTTTGGAGTGACAAACATTTTGGAACTAGGTGGTTGCATGGCATTGTGAATGTAGTAAATGCCATTGAATTTTAGTCATGTGAATTTTACCTCAGTTTTTTTTGGAAGTTGGAAAAAAAATCAGCCCTTATTTTAAATCAGTTGCTTCAATGTTAAGTGTGAATTAACTTTGACTAGACTCCATGAAGAAACTGATTTGTGTTTCTTCTGTTCAATGAACTACCTCTAATACCCATAGTCCCTAACATATAGTAGGAACTCATTAAAAACTTGTTGATGAATTAAAGGCAAATTAGAATTTTTCTTTTTTTGAAAGGTGAAGTCTGACTATTTTGCCCAGGCTCGAACTCCTGGACTCGGCCTATCTTTCCTAGTAGCTGAAGCTATAGGCATGCCTTACCATGCCCTGTTTAGGATTTTTTTTAGTGGCTTTCTACTACCCGTTCGTAACTTCATGGTTACTATTCCAGTGGCCAGTTTAGATTTTTAACTGAGACCATATATTTAATGCAACAAATATTTGGGATTTTAAAGCCGAAACACCCATTATTATGTGTCAGGCACTGTATTTTTAAAAATGCAGCCTTCACACCAATTGTGAGGCAAAAGTTATAATTTATACAACATGAAGTGGCTTAAAAATGTTTTCCAGGGTTACATAGATAGAGATTTGGACCCATAATGTCTTTCCCCAGGGCTGCCGTATACCAGTAGTCTCTCCTCCAGCAGAAGTTAAGGTTGGAATTTTCAGGCCAAGGCATCATTGGATACTTAAGTCTTGGGTTGCACAGCACTGTAACTAAAGCTTACAGATTTGACCCAAGTAGTTGGGGAAGTACTTATTTGATTCCTTAAGCAATAGGATCTGTTGGTGTGGGCCCCACCCTAAAGCAGCCTAGGCCCACCCTTCAATGTATTTTTGTAAAGCCTTTGTTCATTTTCCTGTCCAGAATGAGGTCTGCAGCCCATACCACCTGTGAAAACCTCCACAGTACCCTGTTTAATGCTGCCAATTTTGTATATCTTGTTCTTGCCCCCTCGTCACCATGAATGAGTCAAATGATGAGTAAGTGGAAATTGTTTTGTGATGTATGGCTAGACAGCACAGTAGTGGCCAAGAAACATTTGGGCTCTGTCAGCCTGAAACTTCAGCATGAGAGCCCCTGACATATGGGGTGACAGTTTTCCATGTAGATGAGGTTTGCCCCTTCCCTTGCCAGAATTATGTATTTTAACCTTTTTTTCTCATACTAGTCTTTTCCATATTAGGGTTCCATAAAAAGAAATTTTTCCTGGGTAACTCAGAAAGGACCTTCCGCTGTCTCCACACTGACCTGTCTGGTGCTATGGCTGCCATGAGTTTTTATCAGCTGTGTGTCACCCATCTCTCCTCTGCTTTGGACACTTTCTTTTAGTCGCCAGCATTCTATAATATGGCAAACAACCAGATAATATAATCTTTAACCAATTATATGGAAACAGGCATTTAAATCTCTTGAGGGCCTGCACACCTGTCCTCCCAGACTTAATAACTGTTCATTCTGTATTTGGAGCTGGGAGCCCCAGAGCTTTGGCCTTCCCGTAAGTAGCAAGGTGTTATTATATATATACTTTGCCTCTGGGTCAAGATAGACCTTTGGTCTGGGTTTACCTGTCAACATGCTACTCTGGTTTGATTGCAGAAAGGCTAGGAGACAGTGATGAGTAAGCACATGCCTACTCAGGGTATAGGACTTGAAGTAGGAAGAACGGTCCTTAATGGACCCTCTGTATTATTTTGAGGACAATAATTTGGCTCCACTTAATTTTTTGTTATTGTAGTTTTATTTTTTGGGTAAATCTGTATGTTTTCCACCAGAATTTTGAACCTCTGTTTTAATTCCATTCCTGAGATTTTTTTAGAGTATCAAAAGTGATATGATCTTATCACTGAGAATAACATTTTGGAATTTAGTTGAGAGCTGATGTTTCTAGAAACTCCATTTGTTCCCCCTCTAGACTTGTAAGGAGTCCAGGGCAGCGGAATTCATCAGTCTGTATTTCCACCCTTGTTACCTAGTGACCCAGTGGAATTGAACTGGCTACTCCTCCTCTATCCAATTCCTCCTCTTGCCATCACCAGAAGCTGTTAAGGAAAAGAGGGAGAGTAGGTAGCACACATTTGTAGGTAGCACACATTTGTATCTGTCAAATAATCAGGGAACCACCTTAAAAACCTTTTCAGTGCAGTTCTCTCAAGGATTATCCTTTTGTGGACTATACATATTTCTTGGTTTTTCTAAGAACCAGCAGGTTGTTCTGTTGTGGATTTTCAAATTAGGACTGTGGTTGACGTTAACTCTAGGTATGTCCCTGCTGTTAAGCAATTAGAGTGATGGATGATTTATTATTTTTGAAAGATTAAAAAAGGCCCCCTCTAAAGAACCACCCCCAGTCTTTTTTCTAGTTAAAAATGTCACTTTGCTACCTTCTTGTCATATTTGAATGTCTTTAGATAAACAAAGCACTCCTGAATTATCAAGATTGGGTTTGTTTATTTACATGTATTTTCTGGGATAAGAGCCTCTGAAATATTTGTGGTTCACTGAAAAAGAAATAGCCTTTAAAAAGAGGAGTCTGTGAGTAGCTCTTCTGAATCTCACAGAGCATTAGATGTTCGTGAAGTGTCCAGCCTCTTCCTGCTCTCAAGGAACGCACATGCAGGTGGGGTCGTGGAAAGGGCAGGTGTGAGGAAGCCAGAGTCTAATCCAGCTCATCCCCCTGGCTGTGCAACCCAGGCAGGCTGCTCCTTCCCTAGTGACTCCTTTTTCTAACAGGCATCTAAATGCCATTCTATCTCTGTGATTCTGGTGCACCATACAGGATTGGAACTCAGAAGAGGGAGGAGACTGAGAGAGGCCCTGTGTCTAGAAATAGCTTCATAGAAGAAGAGGGGCCAGAATTCAGCGCATTCAGTCCTGAGGGCATTTGAAGAAGGAGCAAGGAAAGGTGCAAGAGCATCGCACATATAGAAAGCAACACAAGGAAAGGCTCAGAGACCAGGAGGGGTGAGATGGCAAGACCTGGTCAAAACCAAGAGGGTTGTTGCATGGTAGTGGGAGGGTCACTTGGCCAGATCCTTTCTGATGAGTCAGACGAGGAGGGGTCCTGGAAGCCAGGCAGGATTCGTGTAGGACAGTGCCTTTGAAGGCCCTGAGCAGAATCAAAGGCCTCGGGCTGCATTTAAAAGTTAGTTTCACTGGAATTTTCAGGGTAGGTTGGAATTAGGAGAGCCAGGGTTTAACTCGGGACACATATGCCCATCATGGCAGGACTTGCAAGTGAAGTATTTCTACAAAGCAATTTTGGCATGCAGCATTAGACGTGGAGAGAAGACAGGACTGAAGATGCAAGGAGTATTGTCGCTGGAATCTAAGTGACCATTGAAGCAATGAACATAGATTATGCTAATTTCATCAATTACAGCATCACTGTTTAAGATTTTAGTCTTTTTTTCTTTGTAATACCCATGAGTAGACGCATTACCACCTGCAGAATTTTAAACTTTTAACTTTTTAATCTCCACTTTTAATTAACTGCTGGAGCGTAAATTTTAAGTACTTTCTTCCTTTCCGTTGAAATGTGTTATGGATGGAGGGGTTGGCATTTTTTAATCCTCTATACTAAGGATTGTAAACTATGGGCCAAATCAGGCCCGCCACCTGTTTTTGTAAATGTGGAACACAGCCACACACATTCATTTACAGCTGTCTGTGACTGTTTTCACACACAGAGTTGGGTGGTATGACAGAGACTGTGTGGCTCTTAACAGAAAAAGTGTTTTGACCTGTGTTCTCTACTGTTCATTGTTGTTTTTTATTTATTTATTTATTTTTACCTTTTTTCCCTGTTTTCTGCTTTCTTAAAATAGCCTTTCACAGCCCCTCCATAAATTTCATTTGAGTCTTGCCCTCGACATGTTTCTCGTAAACTGTAAACTGAGTAAATATAGCCAATTCCCTGAAGAGAGTGGGGCCCTCCTGGGACAGGACACAGCAGCATCTTTGGAGGTTGCAGGGGTTATGACTGTGTCACATCTTTGTCCCTTTCTTCTGTCACAGGGAACAAGTATTACCATGGAGCTCACTGCCTTCTATCACAACAACACACCCAGTTAGATTAACAAAATGTGAGAAAAATCCTAAGACACTATTAAGTGTTCTGTCCCTAAAGTTCCATCCTAACTTTATGAACTAAATGCTAAAAATGTAAGAGTATTAAAGGAAACTTTGTTATTGTTTGTTGTATGTGTATGTTAACTTTTCATGGTGACAACTGTGCTTTAAACAGAAATAAATTTTATTTATTTTCTTTACTCTTATTTCTAGCCATGGTCTGAAAAAGTTCTTTTCTTGTCGTGGAATTGCAATTGCGGTTGAATATTTTTGGAAGCTTGGCAACAGAAACATCACCGTATTTGTCCCTCAGTGGAGAACAAGGCGTGATCCTAATGTCACAGGTGAGGCAAACTGATTTTTTCAGATTTCTAGTGAAATGTTTAATGAGTCAGCTTATAATTGCAACACATGCTGTTTAGAATAGAGCTGTGTGCCATGGGCAGCAGCTTTAAAAATAAAATTGTAAATCTACCACACCTAGCAAAACATCAATTGAAGAGAGTACCACAGCATCAGAAATACTAGGGGGTAGGATGGAAAGTTAACATAGTTATTTATACAGGAAGTTATGTTAAGAGTTCATTATATATCACATGTTTTCTTTTTACTTTCTAAAAAATGTCTTTTTATTAGGCTGGGTTTCTGACTGTTTAGATAGTATTTTTGAAGTCACTTCATAAATTTGGCCCCTTCAAGTTATGTCTTTTTAACAGTCTATTTAATGGCTTAATATAAATCATTTCTGTTAACCGTAAAGTACTCTGGCTGACCTGCAGGCCACACATGAAAGATTTGAACTTACTATGAATCGTGAAATGTTCCAGAGAAACTTCAGGTTGTTTGTGTCATAGGTCATGATAGGAAGATAGGTGAAAGGGCTGTGTCAGGCAACTTAACACATCAGGGTGCCTGGAAAAATAAAGTAGATTGTGGGGAGGGAGGGTGAGTGAGTACAGGACTTGCCCAGCACATTAAACAGGAAGTGAAATTTAGTCACTTAGTGGGGCAGAAATGGTCAAACCACACAGTTGCCAAGTATTCCCAACTTCCCCCATTTTGAAGAGTATATTCATCTTAACAGAGGGTACATAAGGAATGAAGCAGATCTACTCATTTTGTTATTTTTGCAATTGGGTCCCTGAAGGAGTCTCTCTTTTTTTTTTTTTTTTCCTGAGATGGAGTCTCGCTCTGTCACCTAGGCTGGAGTGCAGTGGCATGATCTCGGCTCACTGCAACCTGCACCTCTTGGGTTCAAGCGATTCTTCTGCTTCAGCCTCCCAAGTAGCTGGGACTACAGGCACGCACTACCACACCCGGCTAATTTTTGTATTTTTAGTAGAGATGGGGTTTCATCATATTGGCCAGGCTGGTCTCGAACTGCTGACCTTGTGATCCACCCACCTCGGCCTCCCAAAGTGCTGGGATTACAGGCATGAGCCACCACACCCTGCCAAAGGAGTCTCTTAATGCTTACATGTTCTGCATTGCTTAAGTCAGTGGTGAGTACCATTGTAGGGAATGCAGGTGTGGGAACCTCAGACCCTGAGTTTTTAGCTGCTTTCTGCCCATTACTGGTTTTCTGAAATGTAGCTTTGACCCTCCATTCTCCACTGTCACCACCCATCCCCCATGAAAACCGGCAAATATTTGTATGGACACCTTTGAGAAGTTGGATAGGAGGCCAGTAGGAGGAGGCTTCAACAGACTCTTGGCATAAGGATCTTTCTTGGGATTGGGGTAGAACCATTTGTCCCTCCTATCCCTAGATCTGCCCTAGTCCCACCCCTACCCTCTCTCAGGGTCTCTTATCATCCCTCTCTTTGTCCTCCATTTCTTGTAGTATAGCTCTGAAAGAGTTTTTGATGGTAGGCTTCATTAAGTACCCAGGCTGGAGTGCAGCAGTGCAGTCTCAGCTCACTGCAACGTCTGCCTCCCAGGTTCAAGCGATTCTCCTGCTTCAGCCCCCTGAGTAACTGGGATTACAGGCACGTGCCACCATGCCTGGCTAATTTTATATTTTTAGTAGAGATGGGGTTTCATCATGTTGGCCAGTCTGGTCTCGAACTCCTGAGCTCAAGTAATCCACCTGCCTCAGCCTCCCAAAGTGTTGGAATTACAGGTGTGAGCCACCGTGCCTGGCCTACTATTCTTAAGAAGCAAATGAGTTTAATCTTTTTATGTTTAAAAAATAACTGAAGTTAGTTCATATATTGTTTTTGCCTTAGTATGGGTCTTGCTTGTTTTGTTTTTTTTTTCCCTCCTAGTGAGTTAGTAAAATTGAGTCAGTAGAAAAAAGGTTTTCTACAGCTCTCCAAGTGAAACATTTGAGTGTACTTTCATTTCTTGATACATTTGGGAAGATAGCCCTTTTCTGAATGTGTATTCAACTTATTCCACGAACAGAACAGCACTTCTTAACCCAGCTCCAGGAGCTCGGAATATTATCTTTAACTCCTGCCCGGATGGTCTTTGGAGAAAGAATTGCTTCTCATGATGACAGGTATGAAAGGCCATTCTCCTTCCTACGGTTGGAGTGGGGTGGTGAGGAGCCAGCCACCTGCTCTGCTGAACAGGTCCACACTTTTAGAGGACCTGCTTGATGCAGGGGGTTTAATATTTGTGGTCATTAAGGTGATATGCTCAATGATATTTGCTACATAGTTTTTAGAAACATCACAAAAGAAACTGTTTTTGTGTTTTAGTAAAACATGGCTGAAACTCTGTAAGTAAAAGCAGATATTGTAGTCTCTGGTTGGTAGGTGCTTAAAGTAATATTTGTCTTGTCTTAGTGTGGCAGGCTTGAAAATGGTTTCAAATAGTAACTCCTCCCAGTCTACTTTTGATCAGTGACTTAGCCTATTATCATAATGCCTGGGTCCTCAGGGTTTCTTCTACGTCATAGAAGTGTCTCAACTGACCCTACTGTGATAGGAGTAAGCTGCATTTCTTTTTTTTTTTTTTCTTGAGATGGAGTCTCACTCTGTCGCGCAGGCTGGAGTGCGGTGGCACAATCTCAGCTCACTGCAACCTCTGCCTCCTGGGTTCAAGGGATTCTCCTGCCTCAGGTTCCCAAGTAGCTGGGATTACAGGCATGTACCACCATGCCCAGCTAATGTTTATATTTTTAGTTTAGCAGGTTGCAGTGAGACAGGGTTTTTCCATGTTGGCCAGGGTGGTCTTGAACTCCTGAACCTCAGGTGATCTGCCCACCTTGGCCTCCCAAAGTGCTGGGATTACAGGTGTGAGCCACCACACCTAGCCCATAAGCCTGCATTTCTTAGCTTGGCATATAACTCAGGCAGCAGGTACTAGTGCATCTGAGTCACCAAGTCACCAAGATTTCGTCTGTGCCTTTTAAATATTCTGTTTTGTTTTTGAGATAGAGTTTTACTGTGTCACCCAGGCTGGTGTGCAATGGCACAATCTCAGCTCATTGCAACCTCCACCTCCCAGGTTCAGGCCATTCTCCTGCCTCAGCCTCCCAAGTAGCTGGGATTACAGGCATGCACCACCATGCCTGGCTAATTTTTGTATTTTTTAGTAGAGATAGGGTTTCACTATGTTGATAAGGCTGGTCTCAAACTCCTGACGTCAGATGATCCACCCATCTCGGCCTCCCAAAGTGCTGGGATTACAGGCATGAGCCACTGCGCCTGGCCCTTTTTAAATTTTTTCTAAAAACTTTATTGAGCACTAACCAAATCTGATACACTGAGGTAGGTTCTGGGGACATACATGATTCAGATGCACCTCCTGCCCTTAAGAATTTTGAGAAGACATGTGCATAAGTAACAGAAGGGAGTTTTGCTGTGGTTGAGTAAGAGAAGGTTCCAAACTTAACCAATGGAAATAGGACCAGTTTTTAAAATCCTCCTCATGGTATGAAATTAGTAGCATGTCTACTAGTATTTGGGAACCTAGTGGTAGCTGTTTATTCTTTTCTCTCCTGCATTTGCCCTGTTTATTTTCATCTGGCTTATAGCACTGACAGCACCCCTGGTGTTTTTGCCTGTGTTCCACCAAAACACCACTCCGTTGAAGATAGTGTTTAGCTTGTGACCCAAGCTAGTGAATGATAGTCAAATGGGTAAGAGATGAAAAGAGGGCCTGGGGAGAGGGATGAGGGGCTTGGGACCACAGCAGACATATATTCATTCACCAGAAGGGCCTTCTCATTGACAGTCCCTTGCCCTGCACCAGGCTGGTATGCAAGACCAGATCTGATGGGTGAGAATCAGGTGGCATGGAAGAGCCGAAAGAGGATACCATATGTGGGTGCCTGGGGGATAGGTGAGAAGTACTAGAAGGTGGAATGGAAGGACACTTCCTGCCCAGCCCTGTGACACAGGCAGGGACCCTGCAGGGCTCAGGTCCTCTAACACAGCAGCTTCATTCTCACACCAGCAGTGTTGGAACAGACACACAAGTATGCAGACTAAGCTCTTGTTTGGCTGATATGGCTCTTTGGGTTTTCAGAGGACATGTATATATGTTCTCATTCATGAACTCAGAAGCCTTACTGCCTGTTTTTGTTAGTGGCAAACATTACCACTTACAACTCATGCCAGTTAGAAGTCATTTGTAAAATGTTATTTAATAAAGCCAAAGAACTAAATCATATTTAATTTCCAGGGTTTTCTAAGATCTCTGAAACTAATGAGATTTTTAAAATCCCCGTTAGGTACTCATCACTGCTAGTAAAAGCAGTTGTCTGTACCTTTAATTCCAGTGAGTCCCTTAATTTATTTTTTATTATCTTGGTCTACATATCCTTAGACAAATGTGGTCACCCTAACTTATGAGATAAAATTCATTATCCTCACAGATTTCTTATTAAGAGGGTCTGAGCATGAATAATCAGCAGTGAAATGGAAGTCTTCTTTACTGCTTCATCCTTTCCCTTTTTTATCACCAGGTATCCTGTCATATCTTCCATTTGAGTGAATCTATAACTTAGTCTAAACAAAATGACAATTCTAGATACCTCTTTTTAAATCAGAGCAGTGTGAACCTGTGAATTTTTTTTTTTTTTTTGGAAACACTCTCGTTTTGTTGCCCAGGCTGGAGCGTAGTGGCACGATCTTGGCTCACTGCAACCTCCACCTGCTTGGGCCCAGATGATCCTCCACCTCAGCCTCCTGAGTAGCTGGGACTACAGGGAACACCTGGCTAATTTTTTTGTATTTTTTTGTAGAGACGGGGTTTCACCATGTTGCCCAGACTGGTCTCAAACTCCTGGGCTTGAATGATCCGCCCACCTCAACCTCCCAAAGTGTTGGGATTATAAGCATGAGCCACCACACTCGGCTTGAACTTATGAATTTTTAAAAAGAAAAGAGAATTGTAAGGCTGATTGTACTAAGCAGCTAATCTTAGAACCAGAATACTGTTGCTCAGTAACTTAAATCTGAATAATGATTTCACAGGGTTGTCAGCTCTCATTCTCTGCTCTGGTATTCATGTATTCTTATTAACACTGTTTACTGATAATACAACTTTTGAATAAATTATAGTTTAGATCACTTAACAAAAGAAATTGTATGAAAGACAATCTATTTTATAATCACACTAATAATTTTAGAGATATTCACCATTGTGATTGATCTTCAGTTGATAGGGGCTAAACTTTTCTGTGGCCTAGCCTTGGTTAAATTCTTTGATGGTTTTCCTATGAAGAGGAACCCTTCTCTTATTTTCTTATAACATGGCTTCTCTGAGCCAAGGATGCCTGTTGCTCATTTTAAACTCTGTTATATTACCATAGGTTTCTACTACACTTAGCGGACAAAACTGGTGGTATAATTGTGACAAATGATAATTTCAGAGAATTTGTGAATGAGTCAGTCTCTTGGAGAGAAATTATTACAAAAAGGTAATATTTTCTTCTTTGTCTTTGGTCAGAAAAGTTTTGTTTTGTTTTGTTTTTAATTGTTTCTGTGTGCATTTTGTTTGTTTTGTTTTCTATATTCCTTGGCCCCACAGAAGGCAATATAAGGGACCAAAGTATCATAAGACTGTGCTGTACTCCCACTTCATAGGTGACTGGCCCCTCCAGGTAAGCAGGGGCCCGGCGCAGAGCAGCAGAGCTGGCAGTGATGAGTGTGGACATGCTCTGCTCTCACTACAGCCTTCTAGGGCATCAGAGTTTCCCTGCATGCAGCAGGAGGCACAGTTAAGTGTGATGGAGCACAAACGGCTTCCTAGTTTACTCAGCTGTGAAGTGAAAGGGTGAACTTCATGGCAGCTGGGATTCCAGCAAGAGGAAAGGCCCAAAAGCAATGTGTGCTGACTGGGCTTTCACTTCTTCATGGTCTGGAGAGAGTATTTCCACTTTTTAATATCTGATGCTTTTCTGGAGGTTTTTACGGTCAGTTTAATCATCTATATTGAAAACATCTTTAGATATCCAAAATAAAACAAAGTTACGTCAAGAGTTTAGCATTCACTGCTGTTTTTCATTTGTAATAAAACTATGAAGGTGTCCACTGCTGAAAAATGCCCTAAGATGAGTGGGCACTGGCTGCTAGGACTTTTTGTTAACAACTATCACCTGACCAGTTATTTAAAATAGAAAGCAAGGGGCTGTGATAGTGCCAGGGATAAGTCACATAGGCCAGAAATCTTAAAACACAAAGTGAACATACCTCACGCTAAGTATAACTAATATATAGTAAAACTCGCAATATAGCTAGGATAACTAGTATTTATCCCTGTTGGGGTTTCACACTTGTACCTTGCCTGGTATTTATATTTTCCTAAATTATTAGAAGATTTTAGAAAAAAGAGTCTGTTACGAAAGCCCAGGTGAGAGTTAATTACTGTATGCGTTTTGACACCTGTGCTGTTAAAAAGCTGTTGTTGATAGCTGAACCGAGAATGAGAATCAGTCTTTGACCTTCTGGGCACAGTTAATGAGCCACTAATCTTGTAGGGCATGTTTCTGTTGGACCTCTGCCTGGGCTCATTGTCAGTATTTACTGACACTCATCCATGTATGCATGGAGGGTTTAAATGCAGTCAAGACTGGTGTTCTCCAGCCAAGCTGTTGCTTTCAGCATTCACAAAAACAAGGCAGAAAGGAGACCTGGACAACAAGCACAGGCACTTGGACTTTTAAGATTATTTTATTTTCTGTTTTCCCCGATATGGTAAATAGTGGTCTAAAGACCTCAGATTTCCTTTATTCATATATCGTTTTCCTTTTTAAAAATATTCTTTTCAGTGGGTTTGCTTACGGACACATTTATTACCAGTTTTATTCAAAAAATTAAACCTTCATTCAGCATTTGTGTCCTAAGCTGACAGTCTTTAAATCTTATTTTTCAAAGTTATATTGAAAGTTATTTTAGAAGAAGAAGCGGCTTCCTAAGCCCAGTACGAATCTGCAAGTCTTGATGAGAAATTTGAGGGCCGACTGATAAAATGTTCTGACTCTATTGTATTTATGTCCAAAACAGACATTAAAAGGGTTTGACTTGGTTGTTTTCCCCCCTTTTAGGCAGTTGAGCAGTCAGGATTTGTAGGCTGACCTGACCGTTGCTTTGGCATCGGGTGGCTGCTTTGGGATCCTTATGTAGGCCCTGGGCAGTGAGGACCCTGTTTCTCAGCCTCATGGTGTTCTGTGTTGTAGGCTGCTGCAGTACACGTTCGTGGGGGACATATTTATGGTTCCTGATGATCCTCTGGGAAGAAGTGGACCTCGATTAGAGGAGTTTCTTCAGAAGGAAGTCTGTCTTAGGTATTTCCTTTTTCAGATTGTCTTATATTAAAACGTCTGTTTCAACTCTTTGTGCTTTAGTGCAAGTGCTGTCTTTATCAACTAAAAATGGCATTTAAAAATTATTATTATTATTTTGAGACAAGGCCTTGCTCTGTCACCCAGGCTGGAACGCAGTGGCATGATTTCGGCTCACTGCAACCTTTGCCCCGCCAGGCTTCAGCAATCCTCCCACCTTAGCCTCGCAAGTATCTGGGACCACAGGCGCGTATCACCACGCCCAGCTCTTTTTTTGTATTTTTAGTAGAGACAGGGTCTTACCATGTTGTCCAGGCTGGTCTGAAACTCCTGAGCTCAAAGAATCCGCCTTCCTCAGCCTCTAAAAGTGTTGGGATTGTAGGCATGAGCTACCATACCTGGCCAAAATTTTTTTTTTAAGCCTTAAATTTAGTGCTGGTTTCATATATGTGGAAGCTAATGTAGCAAGCATCCCAGATTTTCAACTGTAGTCCTTTCAGTTTTCATCCTAGGAAAAGACAGAAGCCAAACTTTTTTTGTGGGTTTATTTTTATTGATTTTTTTTTTTTTTTTTTTTTGAGATGGAATTTCACTGCTAGGCTGGAGTGCAATGGCGCGATCTTGGCTCATTGCAACCTCCACCTCCCAGGTTCAAGTAATTCTGCCTCAGCCTCCCGAGTAGCTGAGACTACAGGTGCACACCACCACGCCTGGCTAATTTTTTGTATTTTTAGCAGAAACGGGGTTTCGCCATGTTAGCCAGGCTGGTCTCAAACGCCTGACCTCAGGTGATCCACTCACCTCAGCCTCCTAAAGTGATGGGATTACAGGCGTGAGCCACCTCGTCCAGCCTTTTTGTGGGTTTAAAAAGACAGCCGGGGCCGGGTGTTGTGGGTCATGCCTGTAATCCCATCACTTTGTGAGGCCAAGGCAGGTAGATCACTTCAGGTCAGGAGTTCAAGACCATCCTGGCTAATATGGTGAAACCATGGCTTTACTAAAAATGCAAAAACTAGCTGGGTGTGGTGGTGCGTGCCTGTAATCCCAGCTACTCGGGAGGCTGAGGCAGGAGAATCACTTGAACCCAGGAGGCGGAGGTTGCAGTGAGCCGAGATCACGCCACTATACTCCAGCCTGGATTACAGAGCAAGACTCTATCTCAAAAACAAGCAAACAAACAAAAAACAAAGCTGTTTTTCCAAGCTGGTGGTCACTTACTGGCGAACACTACTTAGGTTCATCATGTATGTGTGAGAGCTCTCCCTCTGAACCATGAGTGCCTAATGGGCTCATTTTGTATGTGTGAGTGTCTTTTTACATTCATTTTCTAAAGTCATTTGCTTTGAACATGTTATGCTTATATTAATTACTTACTGCTCAGGAATCACTGCCTGGGGGAACTGACCATTACTTTCTACCTTTACTGAATGGAAAAGCCAGTATTCCATATTTATCTGAAAATGATTTGGTAGTTTAGGTTTTCTTTGTTGTAGTTTGGGTTTGTTTTGTTTTTAGGACACCTTGTTAGTGGTTCTTTCTGTTTTCAGAATTCTTAGGTAACAGACATTAACCAAAGACGCCTGTGAACCTAACAGGCAGATCATAGGACCCCATGACTGATGTTTACTCTTTTTAAAATCTAAACCAGACTGCACTTCTGTGCATTCCCAGCTGGTATTTGCATGGGGGTGTGATGGGGGGGTCTAAGCTGAGAGGAAGACACACAGCTCTCTCAGCATTTTTAGGCAGTCACACTTTCCAGCCGATCTTTTCCATTTGTAACAGGAACCATTGGGAGTTGTAGGTTTGGATTCAGTGGTAGGTGGTGATGGGTTTTTTTTTTTACATGGTGGTCTGTTCTACCTAGGAGACCACTACAATTTCAGGTCTTGTGAATCATTTCTCTTTTGAGCCTTTGGGTTTTATGACACAGATGAGGACTTAACTGCCAAACGCCACGCTTCTCTACCCACATGAAGAGAATGGCAGCCATTTTCCACACCTGGTACGCTCATCAGTCCATCTCGTTTTCCTTCCCCACATCTGAACTTTGGAAATCCCCTGCTGGGCTTCAGGCCCAAGGCCCGTGTGTGAGCATCAGTCACGTCTGTGGGTCACAGTTACCAGAAGGAGAGTCCTCTGCGTCCTCCCACTCCTTGAGCAACCTGGTACGGGGTCTGTCTGCCTGCCTTTTCACTCTCACCTGGTGGCTTTTTGTAGAGCTGCTCACAAATTGGTTAAGAAGTTGGGAATCACTTCCATCACAGAGGGGCTGTTGAAGTTGAGCTTTTGAAGTTGGGGAAACTTCAGCTAGCCTCATTTCTCACCTGCAGGTCGAGTCCAGTGGGAGACTTTTGAGTGATACAGATGCCCTCCCTGTACACACATACTCGTACACACCCATGTGCATACAAGTGTGGGCACCCACCCACACCTCATCTAGACTGAGTCGGTGGGGACTGCCACTCTCCCCAGAAGGAGTCTCTTCTAATTTCTGTTAACCAGGGTCCTGCACAAAATCAGAATCTTGAAAAGAGTAAGATCCTGTTAAACCTTTTGAAAGCTCCCAAGGGCACCCTGGTTAGAGCCAAACACCTGGATGGGGTCAGTCCTCACAGCAGCAGACCTGGGAGGGCGGTGCTCCCTCACAGAGTGCACTCATTCCCTGTCACACCTTGAGATGGCGTCAGTGGAATCCCCGCAGGCTCCCCTGTGGGCAGCTACTGTCACCACCTCCACCTCAGTCTTGCATCCTGCCTTTGGAAGCCACGGAGTGGCATCCTGAGCCTCAAGGCCTGCCGCAGCTACCTTCTAAAATATCTCCGTGATTTTTTATTTACTTATAACCCAACTCACCAGGACTTGCTTCCATTCACAGAGATATGCAGCCCCTACTCAGTGCCCTGCCAAATGTGGGCATGTTTGACCCCAGCTTCAGAGTCCCTGGCACCCAGGCAGCCGGCACCAGCCACCAGCCTCCGACCCGGATTCAGGGAGCCCCTTCAAGTCACTGGCTCCCTCAGCAGCCCCACTTCCCACTGCTGCCAACCCTCCCCAATCTCCAGCAGAACCTGCCCATGCCAGCTCAGCGATCTTCTGCAGAAACCAACGAGCTGAGGGAAGCCCTTCTGAAGATCTTCCCTGACTCAGAGCAAAGACTGAAAATAGACCAGATCTTGGTGGCCCACCCATACATGAAAGATCTAAACGCGCTCTCTGCCATGGTGTTGGATTGAAGATTGTGCTGAGAAGCTTGCGCTCAGGGCTGGCTGATCAAACTCAAGCTCACACCTGTACCTGATGGGAATGTGAAGAAACTTATTTCCCAGTGTAAACGCAGTTGTATAGAAAAAAAAATGTTTTGTGTATAAATCTGGGTTTTCAAAACCAGCTTTTTTCTATATATAAATTATGCTGCTATTACAGATTTAACATTTTCTGTTAAAGGAAAGTCTACATTTTCTGCCTGTTCAGAACTGTTTAATAGCAGTTACTCTTGAGTGTATTTACCTTTTTATGTTTTTTAAACTATTTTCCTTAAAGCCGAAAATATTGACAAATGGATATGGTTAGCCTTTATAAATAAATAAATAAAAAAAAAAGAGCTGCTTTCTTAAGGAAAGCAAGACCTCTTAAAGTATATTTTCTTGAGATGAATATGTCCCGTCACTACCATGAAATGTGCTCACCCTTCCAGCCTCCTCTGCCCTCACCCCCGGAATTAGAGTGGGTAAGAGTTGGTTTGTCCTGCAGAGTCTTTGGTTGGAGCATTGTGAAAGTGGACCCGCGGTGCCACTAGATGGCACTTGGTGCCTAGCGGTGGTGAATGACCAGGGCGAAGTTAGACTCACAGGATACCAGGGCTAGAAGATATTGTGGAGCCCATGGAGTCCCACCCTTCCCCTTCCACCCTGCGTAAAAGGGGACGGCCCAGTGTGCACGCCGTCCGGCCATACCCATAACCACAGCCACAGCTGAGGAGTGGCTGGGCAGGCAGCAGGCTCCCCAGCCAGGGCTTGACACGCTCACAGGCTAAGGCCTCCACACACCTGGCCTGGCTCTGGAAGTCACTTCTTAGCTTCTGAACACCATAGCGGGTCATGAGGAAGTTTAATAAAGAGCCTGGTCACTGGCCATCTTGTGTCCGCAACTGCAGAAGACGCCCTGATGTGGAGTTTGTACAGCTTTGCCAAAAAATGATTTTCTACTCTCAAAAATGACCCAAGCCAATAAATAGCATTAGTAGCTTCTGTTGGGGGGAGGGAATGGGGGGGCCAGAGCCCTTGTATTTATTTTCCCTGTGTTTGTCTCTCTGGTGTCCTCCTAAACAGCCTTTCTTGTGAGTCTTTCTCAGAATTGATATCTTAATATTGTCTGTTCTAGGTGTTGCCCAAATTCAGTGTCAGTGAAGTTCTTTTCCTGGGCAATCTTAACATCTTTACTCTTACTGTCTGGATCTTCAAAGGGCTTTGTATTTTACACCTGCGTCCCCAGGCTGCTCATAGTCGGCTTCCTGCCTGTCCGTAGATCATGTCTCTCTTGGGCCTAAGGAGTGGAGGCTGAGGACTCAGTGCTGGTTTGTTCATGGTGAGGGGACTGGGGGGCATCCCAGAGTGCTACCTCCAGGCCTGCTTCTTGGTTTTGTTTGATCGCTGCATCCTTCAAGGGATGAATCCGGAGCTCTCCATGAGGCCAGGCTTGTCCTTCAATCATGTTTCCTCTCAGATGCGTCCATGATGCCTCCTAATGTGGAAGTGGTTGTTCATTGTTTGGGCCGGTGGCCAAGTCACCCAGCTGTGGAAGCAGAGGTAGAAGACAAGGCCAGCCAGGAGGGCAACTTCAGTCACAGCTCCCATGCCTCAGCTTTGCACCTGTTTTCAAAAGCACAACTGAGGTGTGCGGCCTGGGGCTGTCTTGCAGTGACTCTGGCCTTCTGGCTCACGTTTCGGTCCAGCAGCCTGGCTGACCCACTATTTCTCCTCTGCTTCAGAGAGGAAACCCAGGAGACGCCCTGACCGCCAGACTGAGTCTCCACCCATGCTGGCTGGTGCTGGCTAGGCTGAGGGGCTCACCACTTCTCCCGGCTCTAGAAGCTATTTGACCCTTGACGTTTGAGTTCTGTAAGTCTTTCTGTTCTGACTATTGCTTCGGAGAGATTGGCCCGTCCCCTTTCCCTTTCTTGGCTGTGGGAAGGAAGGAAGAGCAAAGTGCTCATTGGTTCCCTTCATCAGTGACAGCATGAGACGGAATTCATCATTCCTTCTGAAACCCCTCAGGTTTAGTTAAATTTAATATTTAAAAACTCAAATTATCAAACCATTAAAAACTCATTACTGGTTCTCAGCCTCCCCCAGTACTAGCCTCAGTGTGGCTGCTGCGTAAGTATCTGTAGCCTGTCTACCTCCTGCAGCGGGGCCGCCCGCCGCTTCCCTGTCTACTGCTCAGGCTCTCCCACTTCGTGGCATCCATGTAAAGTAGCTGGCAGAAGAGAGATGTCACCCTCATTCAACAGACGGGATGTGTGTTGCTCAGAGAGGTTATCCTGAGGGGCTGGGTGATTCCCTGGCCTACATTCTTCCCGAGGCTCCAGGCCACTGTCTTCGGGAGTAAAAGAGCCTTGTCTGACCTTAATGCAGGCAGTCTGTTTGAACCCCTGTAGGCTGCATTCAGGAGACAGAAGGTGTCTGGGCCATCCTGGATGGCCGGTCAGCATTGCTAGGCAGGCTCGGCTATGTGGCTGGGACTCAGGCCTGGGTGGCTTTTGAGACCAGTGAAGGGAGAGCCGGCCTCCTGCCCATGCAGGCTTGTGACACGGCTGGGATATGAGGGAGGACTCAGATCTACACACAGAAATGCCTCTTTTCCCTGCCCTCCCCCAGCTCCCACCTGCCTCCCACACCTCAGGTGTGGCTGCCCGTGGGACCGTCCCTCAACCCCTTTCCTCGCACCTCCTCGTCTTCACCCAGTTCCTGCAGTGTCTCTGACCCACACCTCCCGCCTCCTGGCCGACTTGCCCAGGCAGTGGCTCTGGCTCACCTCCATCTGTTCATCACCTTCCTCCCCAGTGTTGCCATTTATCTCAGATGTTTTAGATTGAAACAGCCTGATTCCCAGAAGAATCCTCTTCATTCATTGCTAGTGCTTCCCCTCACCTCCCACTCTCCACTTCCCAGTTTGCAAATGTGGCTTTCGCCCACCAAGTGAAAGTGGACTGAGAGCAGCCCTTGGGGACAGCCCGGTGCCTGGCTGCAAGGCCGCGCTGGGGCTGTCTTGCTGGCGCACGTGGCTTGACTGGACTTTCCCTGCTTCCCACCACTTCCCTCACTCCCAGACCTCCCTCATTCTTTTTTTCTCTTCTTTTTGCCTAAAGCCAGCCCTTAACACCCTATTCTTCCTCAGCAAATGGTTTGCAGACTAGCTGGAAAGGGCAGCTGGTGTTAAGAATGCAGGTTACCGGGCATGACCCAGCAGATGCTTGCCCAGTAGTTCTAGAGAAGGCCCAGGAATCTGCAAATGAGCACATTCCCCAGGCAGTTCCCATGCAGGTGATCAACGGACCACATGTTGAGAAACCGCAGTCACCCTTAGGGCCACACTGTCCCTGTCCCCACTGTCCCCTCTCTGTAGTGACCTCCAGCCCTGCCCTTCAGGAGTGCACTTCCCACTCTACTAGGAAGCCCTATGGCATCCTCAGGCTTCCAAGACCCGCAGCCTGCTCTGGGTCCCTCCCTCCTTCCACACCCACCCTCCGTATGATCCCCTGCTCTGCCCTTGTGCTTGGCTGCCCCCTGCCCGCTACTCTCAAGACACCCAGGGGTGGTGGGCCCTAACTGGCCAGCCCCTCCCAGCACTGTCCTCTGCCATCGAGACACCGCAATGCAGCCAGATTTACCTTCCAGTAACATACTTCTAGTCACCCCTCCTCCTGCGAAGTGATCTGCAATGGCTGTTTGACCAGAGCACCAAGTTCACACCTCCTGAGCTTGGTGTCCGTGGCTGTCCACCTCCCAGCCATACTTGGCTGTCCCCAAACGCTCCCTGTGGCCACACGTTTCCCATGACCTGTGGGCTCCGCAGATGGACCTCTCTCCGCTAGAGATGCCCTTCTCCCAAATGACTTCCCTCCTGGAAGGCCCAGCCTGAGTCTCGTCCCCTTTCCAGTGCTTCTGCCAGAAGCAGCCCCATGATGTTCTGTGACTGCACAGCACTTTGTGTCTTGCTCTGGGCACTTGCCGCTCTGGCTCGTGCTGCCGCCGCTGATTGTGTACTGTGTCTTGCTGCCCTTTCTAGACTGTGAGCTCCTCGCGGGCAGGGACCGCCTGTGTTCTCTGTATTTCCCACGGCGCCTAGCACAGTGCCTTGCACTTGATAGGTGCTCAATAAATGTCTGCTCAACTGAACTGGAGAACAGTGCCTTCTTGACTGCGGCATCTGGCAGCAGGACTAGTAAGAGGCCGGGAATCCACCGCCCTCTGGTGGGACATTGGGGTGGGACTGGGGTCACTCCACTCCCTTCTCCCTCCCCTGCCAGGCTCCAGCACACAGCATCCTGGGCACATGGATCCGGTGAGGGGTACCTGGCACAGGCTGCGTACCAGATGCACTCAGGCTTCCTGGCCAGGATTGACACCTGGCCCAAGCTACGCCAGTCCGAGTCACTCCTGCTGGAGAGTTCCTCTGTGGTGGTGGGAATCGTGGGATACCAGGCCCAGATCTGTCAGAAGCCATTGTCCACCCTGGGGAAAGCCGACCTGTGGCAGGAAAGAAGCGGCGATGTGAGAGAGGTTCCTGGCAGCATGAGCCTCAGGTTCCCGTTGTGAGGAAAGCCCTTCCTCAGATGTCGCCACACCCCAGTATTCTCACACACTTCCCTTTTTGCTTAAGCTGGTCATTCCAGTTGGATTTACATCCCTTGAAATTGAGAGTCTTGAGTAACGTGTGTTCCTGTCTTTAGCAAGGACTTATAGATTGTTTAGAAAGGTCCAAAGACATGTGCAAACGTGGCTTCAGGAGTGTCCACCCCAGTCAGAAAATGCTGGAAGAGGCCGACCATTTCAGAGTTGGGTAACTTGAAACTCAGGCCTGGGGCCCCTCAGCAGAGAACTCGGCCTGGCCTTCGAGCTGTTCCCTGCTGCCGTGGCTCTGTGCCCATCCCACTGCCTCTTCAGTCCCCTGACGGCAGTTCTTTTCCCCAGTTCCCTAGTTGGGCAGATGCCAGCACTGTTCATTTGGAGTTTGACTTTCTGTACGCTTCAGAAGTGTAAGCATTATTTTATTATGCCTATTTTACAGATGAGGAGACTCAGTAATAATGCTTTCTACTTTAAGGGTGACTTGAGGAATAAACGTGGTGCTTAGAACTGTGCCCAACCCAGAGCCCTGCTCGGGGGCTGCTACTGGGGCTCTGATCAGCAGCCCTGCGGACACCTACCTAACTATTCCCCACCCTTCCAGGTCATCCCACACCCCCACCAGCCAGGTCTTATCTCCAGGTGCTGAGCCGCCGTCCTCCAGGTTCTGAACACACTCCTTTATCCCTGTGGGCCAACAATGAGGGTGCTTAGGTTAGGGCCTACCTTTCTTTCAGTGCCTCAGCAGGGCTGTGGGAAGTCCGGCTGTGGGAAGTCCAGCTGTGGTCTAGAGAGGACACTGTTCCTTGAACAAGGCAGGCACTCAGGAGAGTCCCTTGGGTGCCATCACCAGAGAGAGCACTCGCAGGAAGTGGGCACAGCCACTGCCTGCCCGCAGGGTGCTGAGAAAGCTGAGGCCGGCAACCAGTGCTATGTCCTCACCACCTGTGTGTCCAGCAAGCTTCTGTCTCCTTTAATCCTCACCTCACTCCTGAAGTGCTACTATTATCTCCATTTTGCAGAGGAGGAAACTGAGATACAGAGATGCTCAGGAACTTCCATTTCTTCCAGCTAAGATGTCCGGGATTTAGGATTTGAATTCCAATGGGCCATCCCACCTCCCTGAAAGGCAAAGCTGCCCCAGAGGTGACTCAGCAGCCGGTATGGCGCCTAAGATCCCTCCACCCTTCAAGGAAAAGAATTGAGGGCCCACGACAGACCTGGGTCAAGGCTGTCAGTCTTCAGGGCACAGGAAGGCTGCGGAAGGAAGCTGCCTCTCCACTTCCTGCGTCATGGGCCTGTATCCAGCCCTGTTCCTGCAGGAGGATGCCAAGAGTATATTTTTTTAGAGAAGTTGACCAGTTCTGCAGAAGCTCTGTCAGGAGTGAGGCCATGCATGCATCAGAGCTGCCTTGTGCTTCATTTCGGGAAACACAGATGAGTTGATGTTGATTGGAAACTGAACGTGGCCCTTTTCCCGGTTCAGGTTCCAATCCCCTCCACACCGAGGGTGCCAGGGCTGGGGACATTCACTGGGGAAATGGGCTAGGCAGGCAGGGATTTGCCCAGAAACAGAGCAGAAGTACCCACAGCCAGTGCTGGAGCCAAAAGCCCAGAGGCTTAGGGCTTCTTGAACCAGCCCCCTTCCACCCCCTCCTGTCTGGTGGCTTCAGCTCCCAGAGTCCCAGGACTCCAAACCGCAGACTCCAGCCTTTGGGGCTTTCCTTCCCCAGCCCCGAGTCCCCAGGGAGCCCTGCTTGGCCCCACAGCCCGAAACCCAGTCTGGGGTCAGGCCTGGGCAGGCCCTGTCCTCCCCTCCTCCCTGCTTCTAGTGAGAAGAGGAGGAGGCGGCCTCCCCCAAAAAGAATGCGCTTGTCTGCCCGCCTGTCTGGCTCCTGGATCCATCTAAAGTTTCAGCCACCAAAACAGGCAGCAGGAAGGAGAGGGCCTCCCGCAGCCTGCCCCCAGCAGCTGCGCACACAGACTTGCTCAGGGGACTTCCCCCAAACCAGGGGGTGTCTCGATGCCAGTAGGACCCTCTCCCCTTGCCAGCCCCTCAGGATCCCTGGCACGTCACACCTCCACTCTGAGAAGGTCTGGGAACCCTTACTACTTCCTGCTGTGTGGCAAAGGGACATGAGGCCCGGCTGGTGAGGGGTGGGGCCCAAACCCCTCATCCCCTCCGGATGCTGCACGTTCCCAGCCCCTCCAGGGTTCCTCCATCCCTGATCTTGAGCAGCCACTGCATGCAGGGGACAGTGCCCGGGAAGGGAGAGAACAACCAGAATGGTCCTTTTTCTGAAGGCCTCATGCCCAGTCAGCCTGTGGGGTGAGGGCATCACCTGCTCCTGCACTTACTCTCCGTGATCTTGAGGAAGTTAGGCAGCCTCTCAAGGCCTCAGGCCCTCATCTGTCATGGGCTAGAGCTGCTGCCCTCAGAGCTGGTGGTCTGTGACCTGGTCTGTGCATCGGGATCCCCAGGGGCAGCGCTGCCCAGGCCACACCCCAGACCCGGGAGATCAGAATCTGACATCCATGTTTTCTGGTAATCCCAGGTGACCCGGCGTGCCCTCACGATTGAGAACCACCTCCCTACTAAAGAGTAGTTGCAATGGTTGCAACCAGTACTGAATCCTAAGAAATGGGCCTGGCTCCTGGGAGAGTCCTTCCATCCTGAGTCCCATGGTGAGGAAGGCATCCAGGCTGGTGAGTGTTCCCTAGAATACATGTGGCTCTAGCCAGGATCCCTCAGGGCCTCATCTGACCTTTGGTGGTTTTCAAATCCAAGGCCCTGCAGAGGCAGGATGCAGAGTGGGGCACGGAGCAGGGGAGGCCGGGACCCCTCCGGCTCCCTCCTCATTCCTGAGTGCCAGTGGGGCTGGCCTTGGCATCGGGTGTTTCTCCCGACCTGGCCCCGCTGTGTGTCCTCACCTCCTGACAGAAGCTGGCTTAATTACATGTGGGGACAATTTCTGCACGAGAGGGAGGAGAGCAGCTAGTATGCACTGAGCTTGCAAGCTTCTTTCCACAAAGCAGCACCTTCATCCTCCCCACCGCACACTCCCTGCAAACCCTGGTCACCATCCCACAGGCACCAGGGGCCTGAGACCCCAGCAGGGCCAGCCACACTGCTGAGAAGGGAAGGAGGAGGCCACCCAGTGGAGAGCCCTCGTTTCAGCTGCAGTGTGGACAGAGGCCCGGCTGGCTTCGGTTGCCCATGGCCATCAGCTGTTCGGTAAGGCAGGACTGAGTCCTGGTCTTATTCCCACATTTGTTCTTTCCACTGCCTCCCCTGAAGATGAGGGTTTCTTTTCCCTGTAAGCCTTTTCCAGTTGTCTGACACTCCCAGCTTTACCCCCGCCACCTTCCCAGCCCAGGAACTCTGGCTTTGAGGACCACCCAGAGCATCTCACATCTGTAGAGGTGGGGACAGTGAAGCGGGACTGCCGGTCACCCGGTCCCTCCCTCCGAGAACTCTGGCTCTAAGAAGGCACAAGGCATGGCCGGAAGAGGCCCTCGTCCACCATTTGGCCTCTGCGGAGGTGGCGTCCATCCCAGACCTTTCAGCACTCCAGCTTATCAGAATTACTATCCCCAGCCCAAACCACCCCTTTGGGGCTTGGAATCCCAGTATCACAGGGACGACCAGGAAAATCTGTGTCAGGGGCTAGGTCTGGGACCTGAGAACCCACCCTAATGTGAAATGACACACACGGGCCTGGACCCCATCCTTCTCCACAGCCCCTTGCCAGACTGAAGACCCAGGCCACACCGCTTTGTTCTCAGGCATCTCTCGCAGGGACCCCTGGTCCCAGCCAGAGCTGCTCAGCATCTTCTCAGTTGAATCTATCGCTACAGCAGCCCAGCAGGATAGGCAAACATGGTTATCCCACCTCCCAGACGAAGAAACTGAGGCACGGCCGTTCTGTGATTAGCAGAGCTAAGACTTGAAACCAGGTCTCCACGCTGTGAGAGCAGCACTCTGTCCCTCCACAGAATGGCTCAGGAATCCACAGCTAGGTGGCCATTCATTCATGCCTTGATGTCTACCACCCTCTGTTTATAGCTTCTGCATACTAAATGCATACCATCTGCTGGGATGGGCCACTGTGGAGGCCTCATAGGGCAGGGAAATCAGAGCCTGGAAGTGCAGATGGGGTGGAAGGGAGCTAACTGGGCTGGGGAGGGGTGCTGCGGATAGGAGAGCGCTCAAACAAGGAAACAGCAAATGGAAAGGAAGTTTCCGTGGGGGAGCTTTAGAAGAACTCATAAGTATCTTGGGGCCGGAGAAGTCAGGGAAGAGGGTCTGGCTATATCCTAAGGGATGTGTTCTGCCTCCTCTCCCCAGCGTGGAAGGCCACCTGGGTGCACACTCTCCTCTGGAAAACCCTTCCCAAGCCTGTGTTTCTGCACCTTGGAGATGACTCTGGCTCCAGCCCTCACTGACGCTTGGAACAAGATGGCAACCTGAGTTTCCAGTTAACCTAGCTCTATTCCTGGGGCGTATTAAGGGCATGGTAGGGTCGAGATGGGGGCCTTCGATGCATGGA